CGATAATTCACCTTTTTTTACAATCTCAAAGTTCTCGCAGTATCCTAAAGTTAAAAACGCTAGTATTTTACATATCAAATAAATATTCCTCTCTTGATGAAAGCGTATTGGCAGACGCTAAGTGCATTTCGAGAATATTTGTTACTTTATTAAATGAGATGTAAAATTATTATCTATGATCCAACGAAAAGTACATTCTCGTATTACTCCATTCTGTACGGACGCGACCGCCGGGAGGTTAATTGTCGGCAGGTAAGAGCGGCCAATTAATAACTCGCTGCATAAGTCGCGTATAATTATGTTAACCCTGGACAACGCGCATCATCAATTATATGCAATTAGACGAGCCGTGGTAGTGGCACAGTGCGTACATACGACGACGTATGAACGGCCGCGATCGTGTCTGTAGAGACATTTACAGTAGGTACAGCCTGTATGGGAGGTCCGAGTATCTCCATCCGACGCGACGGTCCCCACCTGCAGTTAACCCCGACTCGACTGGAGGTGTGCGCCTATTGGTCGCCCCGCCATTTTTCCAGCTTTAATGATAATAGGATAATGATGATTACACCGTTCAACTACCTGTACTAGACAGCACCTGTCTCTCTCCTCTCTCTCTCTCTCTCTTTCTCTTTCTCTCCTTCCCTCCTCCGTCTCTGTCTCTTTCTGTCGTCCTGTTTATCTACCTATCTAACCACCTCTTAGCGATCGAGGCATGAAAAGCGGATAGATCGATTCCAGTGTCTCGTCAAGGCGACTTAGAGTCTCGTGTTCGGTATCTTGAATTAGCGTGAAAGATGCTTCGCGATGCAACAAGATAAATTGGATATTCATAATTATAAGACATAATTAGTAGCCATGTATTTTCATGAGATAACCAATAATGATCTATTTTTCCAAAATGAAGTATATAAATGACTTATGCATCATTGTGTCATACACAATATGTATCGTAATGCAATGAAATGCATTTCATCACAACATAAATGTTATTCAGAGAAAGAACGGTTTTATTGAAGCATCAATAAATTTAACTACATACCTATTTGAAAATAATTTTATTGGACCATCAAAATAATTATGTAAAACACTTAAACGTTGGTGACATTGCTGCAAATAGTTTTAACATTCTAATATCATCAGTTTAAACATCCTATCTAATTATTTTGATCCAAACAAAATTATTTTCAGATCTGTATCTAGCTAAATTTTTTAATACTTTAGCAAAACTGTTTTTTTCGTGTTCACTCGCATAGATGGCTATATATATATATATAAAATATATCGCGAGACAAGTATTAAAAGTCGATCGAGGCGCGAATGTACATATATCACAACTATTGCTTAAATAAACGTCAGAATTTCAGAGATATTTCAGATGTTGGCAGTAATATAAGCCGGATTATACGAACGATGCTCTCCCGCGGCTGGGATGTCAAGTGGATGGCATTGCATCGGGGAAGATCTAACCAAGGCCGATTACTATTTAATATTATATATGTAGAGATGAAATTAGTCGATAAACGGTATAAATTGTAGCTATCGCCACTATGAGATGGGAAATCATCCATTGCGTTTTGCCGGAGCTCGCGCATACAGATTGCATTGCGTTCGCGTGGAACATCAACAGCACGGCGGAGGTTCTAGAGCGATCACGAGAAAACCATTAACCGCAGAAACTATTAGGCGCAGACTGCCGACAGCAGTGCACGCCAATGATATACACCTACGTTTTAGCCATATTGCTTGAGGTTTCACACGATTATGTAAGACGTATGGAAATGTTTGCAACCATCCAAGATAAAGTCCCTTCATTACATTTAATAAGTTGATCATATCTGACGTCGAGAAACAACTTATAATTTGTTGGATTTTTATTCGTTCAGTAAAAATAAAAATATGTAATTTTGTGGCTCCAATAAATTAAACAATCTAAGTAATATGTCTAGATGAGAAACTGAGTAATTTTGTACTTGACTTTTGCATTAAGGAGGATTTCAGATAAATCAAAACGTTTGCAATTAATTTTGTTGGTAAATACAACTGTTTGCGAATTATATCTTATCGCTTTAGGGCCCACAGCCCTAAAGCACACAGAATGTATAAGCATAGCACAGCATGGCATAAAACCACTTGGACCAATGAGCAGCCAGCATTAATTTACATAACATGCTCATTGGTCTAGACGGCCTTACGCTTGCCATATTATGCTCATACATTTTGTTTTATAGCCTGTATAAATAAATTATTTACGCATTAATAACCGCGGAGGCTTACAGGCATTTTACTTATAATTAATCCATTTATTCAATATTTACGTAATTACTTGATCGGACAAATTTACATTTTGGATACATGATTATCTATTTTTTATTTTTTACACATACATATAAATATGTGTAATTCCTTCTTAATTGATATCATCAAAATAAATTATATCATTCCATGCAGACATTACATCTCCAATCTTTGAAAATCGATTTCAACTAGTGTAAATTGATTTCTAGCAGGAGAAAATACGAAACCAAGCAACCACAGGCATTTTCCGTATAGTCAATGCCCGTCATTGACATGCAGACGGGACCATAACGATGCTGTCAGAGACGGCTTTTATATGAAGACATATCGCGGCAGTTGAACCGCGTTTGCATTCTCGACTACGTGCTTTTCTTTCTATTCACCATGTAGACATACTGTTAACTACAATTATTCCATTAAGCGTTAGATCATCAATAACAATAGTCAAGAATAGAATCGATAAGCTGTGGCCAGTGTTACAATTTGTCGCAACTTGACCTCGCAAGTATTTTAAATTTCTCGGAAATGAAGGGCAAAAAAATTGAAACTTTATTCCAAAACGCAATTGCAGCGAGCGGATATGTTCGATTTACAACAATAAGCTTCTTTAAGATTTAATAGATCTGTTTTTAGCTGAACTGTACATTCTTTGTACTTACAATTAGTGAAATAGGTATATGTTTGATTTAGCAAAAACGAGAAGGAAAATTCTAGTGTAGTGCAGTAGTAAAAAACAAACCTAATGTCTCGGTGAAATCAGTAATCAACCTTCAATTTAAATGACACGTATGAAATTCCAAACGGCATAAATAAAGTAAAGAAGGTTTAATTCCAAAATATATCTATATCTAATTAGAGAAAAATTTGCAAAAGACCCTTAAAAATGGCTTGCAAAAATTAGCAAAACATGAACAGAAAGGAATGACTAAAAGCAGCAAAAATAAAATCAAATAAATAAATATATATATATATATAAATAAATTAAGTAAATAACACATAAAAATAAACTTAGTAAAATAAAAACATCCACAAGACAGGGAAAAACCATACAACGATAATTGACCATTGTCACTTTATAATGATAAATTCTTTCCGATATCAGTGATTCATCCTCGAGTGTCTCGTAATTTACGCAAAAGATTTAGAACCGTCATTGTGTGAGATATCCGCAAGAGACGCGATCTTACCTCTATATATCCGAGGATTTGTTCTCCGAAATGTTCTCTCGGAACCGTCACAATGAGAGATTAGGCGTGTCGAAGAAATCCGACCGGTACTCGTATTCATCTATCTCGTTGGCAATGGCGACGCTTAACGAGGGCGTTAATCGAACGTAGTAAGCGGCACCTTTCTAAGCTGCAGCGCACGCTAAATCAATCGCAAATTATTGCAGCGGGTTTATGGTGCGTAACTGTCGCGCATGTTTCGCGAGGACTCAGCCTCTTTTCATTTCACAGCCTTCTCCGGGTTTCATCACCTCATACTTGCGCGCGAGCGAGCGTTCAGCTTTTACGAGTCTCTGCCCACTTGAGCGTAATATAATAAACATTATGTTTTATTACTTGAGCGAAATCTAGAGCGATAAACACTTAATAAATATAGTATATGTATTATCCAACAAAATCGAGCAAAAAGCCACGCGCATAACGTTAAAAGATAACGTTGAAGAGAATTTAATAAAAACAACTGTACTTTGCATATCCTTTTCTATCCACCAGTGCATAATTTAATTCGTTATTTACTCAAATCTTTAGTTATCATAAAATAACTTTGACTTAAATTTTAGTAATTCTCAAAATAGCACACATATCAAGTGAGAATAATATAATGGAATATACATGTTTTTTTATATCTAGAAGTTTCTTAAATTAAAAAATATTTTTGAAATGTCAAAATTGCGATTAAGCATTTTAGAAATATTATATATATGTGTATATACAGTGAGAGCAAAAAGTATTCGTACAAGGAAATTTGTTATAAAAAAAGCCTTATTTGTAGAAAATAAACATTAATTAGCAATTTTATACAATGAATACATTCTGTTCTAACAAACGAGCTTTGCATGTATTCCTGATTTTAGAAGCTAAATTTTTCGTCTACGAATACTTTTCGAGCATTCAAACAATACAATTTTTTATTTTTGTTTATTTTTTAGATGATATATTTTGTATAATTAATGTACATCTTTTTGGTATATGTAATTTTAAGAAACATACAATCTATTTTATTCTTTATGAATAAATTGTTAATTATCCAACAAGAAATGATCGTCAATTGAACGTCGAATCGACGTCAAATTGATGTTGAAATCATCGTATTTATGTTGATTCGACATTAATTCGATGACTCATTTCTCGCTGGACAATATTTACTTTTTAAAAATAAAGTGTTTTAAAAAAATATTTTCTTTGTACGAGTACTTGTTGCACTCACTGTATGTATATATGTAAATATGTGCGTATGTAACATTTTGCTATAAATGTTTTTAAAAAAAGAGACTCCACAGACCTGTGTGAACCTGCCACCGCTTATGTTCCAATTTTGTACATGTGTGCTGTCTAAACATTTTTAAAAAATTAGGTCAAAGTTATTCCGACTAGGTCAAAGTTTTACGGTACTAAAAATATCGTAAGAAAAATAAGGAATCATAGCAGATACAGACTGCGGATTTTCTTGTACAATCAGTTCTTTTATACTTTCAGGGGTGTACACCCTACAGGAACATTTACACAACCACGAGATCGTAATACCACGGAAAGTGAATCACCGAGGAGATTTTATCTCGGAAAATGTTACGCATCATCATCACGAAGACGGACCAGTCGTTCATTATCAAATGGCTGTGGCCGGAAACGAGTACCACCTCGAGCTGACGGCAGTCGACAACTTCATCGGCCGCGCGATGGTCGTGGAAAGACGGAAGCGGGATCTGCACGTCCGCAGTCCAGCGAAAAGTCATGGTAGCAAATGTCATTATCGAGGATTCATTAAGGGCCATCGGAATTCCCGCGTCGCTCTGTCCGCTTGCGACGGTCTGGTGAGTTACACTTTCGATTTTCGATAGGTCGCGTTTACACAAGTCGATATTCGCGTCACGTTTGCATTTGTTAAAATTTCAAAGGGATTGTTCCAATACAATTGTTCCTTTTTACAACACAGTTGTAACATTTATCAATTTATTATAATTTATTGGCTTTTTTATTATATTAGCTTATATAATGAAAAAAAATTGTATTATAATAATTACTTTATTTATAGTAGAAAAAAGAAGGAAGCAAATGAGAGACATAAAGTTAATCTTTACCTTATTTACTTATTGATCTTTTAAACGTCTTGTTTGCAAATCGAAGTCGATCATGTCATAAATCTCACGAAGATATCATTTGCACACTGATACAAGACGTCGAATCGCATTAGAAGCTGAACGAAGTAAACAAAGTCTGGAGTGGCATAACGTGGCGCGATTGAATTGTCAGTTGCAATTTGTAGACAGAAATCAAGCTCCCTGTTGCTCCCGGCGCACTAATACACTATTTCTCGCAATTCCGAGTCGAGTGAAGAGTATAACGAGAGATAAAATCTGTACTGTCAACGACTGTCAATGCATCCAATCGTTCGATACATAAGAAATGAGGACCGAATCGGGATTTCTGCCAGTTAAATTACAAATTATTGGACATGCAAGTTGCAATCAGGATCGTATATCTGCTCGATTATGCTCATGTCGGTGACTGGACATGAAGTTTCAGTCAGCTCGATAAAATTTTTCTGTCTCTAAAAGAGAACGTCATGCATTCATGAGTGAGCGACAGTTGATATATCAAGCGAACGATCAGCTCGCGTTATCTTATATTCGCTAGTAACCGCGAGCATTCGCGACATATCGCCCTTAAGATCGTACGGCAACGAAACGTGCTTTCGCTCGTTAAGTCTTTTCACTATGATCTCCATGGTGATTCTAAATCAATCACATTATACGCGCTTGTCTTTTTCTCTCTCTTTCTCGCTTTCCTTCTTTCTTGTGCGACAGCATATCTGCCACGAACTGCAGCCAGCTATACGTACATTATGCCACTTGAAGATAATATATGAAAAAGCAAAATACATTCTGTTCGCCTCTTGATGATAAGATTTTCTTTATTGCGTTAAAATCAGGTAGCCGTTAACGATGTCGATTAATTAATAAGTCCGGGCGATAACTCATAGCTAACAACTAGCACAATTTGAACGAAATCGGGTCGTATAGCTCGACTGTGGTGTACGAGCCAATTTTTCAAGAGTGATTTATCGCGTATCTGAAATGCACTTCTTTTGTCAATGTCGCGGCGAAGTGAACCAGAACTATCGGAATGAGAATTCAACTGGACAAGAGCTCTCTCATGGTAAGCGTGTTTTTAAAAAGTATTTTCCAGTGGTGTGCCATTTACATTATTGGCGTGCGATATCAAGGGAAATTGAAGAATTACGATCCATCTATATATATATAATACGAAATGCGATATTATGCAAATGAATATATTGCACAATAGAGATCAACGTGTAACTCCCTAATTTAGAGGAGATATTAAATATAAAACAATAATTCAAAATTCTCTTTCTAAATCTAAAGCTTGATTTAAACTTCTACTTTAACTCTGCGCAGTTCCTCTACTTTGATGATCGTCTTTTTTGGGAAATGTATGTTTGTTGTATGAGCGCTTCTAAAATACTTGGATGGAATGAAGGCAGCGAACTAAATATAGCAAAGATTATGCCGCGGAAAGTTGAAAATTTTCCGACGTAAAGCTCGGCACAAAACAACGCGCGATCTCTCGTCGGGCAGCGAGCTGCCGCCGCCGCAGCCTCTTTATCATCATCCTCGGTTGAAATTTATGTGTATTAGTCTACACGCTAAACTGCAAACCGCCGCTCGAGCCGCAAGAAGAGAAAACACTCGCGGAGTTTCCTACATGCGTAAAATCACGGTAACAGAATATAAAGGGCGAACGGAGGAATGCGAAGACAGGGGGAAAAAAGAAGCGTCTGGACAATGCGTGGAGAAACGAGGGAGAGTATAAAGTATAAAAGCCTTCGAGTATGCATCAGCGCAATTTGCTCGTAGCTTCTAGATAATGATTTAATTTGCCACGGCATGGCAGATTTATGACGGCGCACCTAGTCGTTGTCCACGTACGCGTGCACACGCGCACATGGATGCGCAATTGCATCGTACGTGCATAACGAGCCGCACAAATACATACACACATTTGCAAAGTAAGGCTGTCCCGACATCGGCCCTGGGTGTCCCATCGACCAGAACATCGCGGACCCATCGGCGGAACCGCCTTTATGGATGCTTGGTTCTCATGCAATACCGTATAATTGCTCAATTTTCTTCAGGAGCTCCGTGAAACTGCAACGAACAGCCGCAGTAATCAACCTCATCGAGTGTGTTGTATATTATAGAGAAATTTCGCGAAATCGTGGCGCCTCACAACAACGTCGCGGCGTGAATCTCTCTCTCTCTCTCTCTCTCTCTCTCTCTCTCTCTCTCTCTGCGCAAGTATAAAACAGGATACACTCTTAAATATTTCTTAAATATACATTTTGTAGATATAGTCAGTTCTTCTCATCTAAAACCGTCTCAAGTACAGTCTCTCGAGACGTCATAAACCAATCACAGAATCGTGTTGGCATCGTAAAACATTTCTTAAGATGGTCTTGAAATAAGAACCGACTATGGACGATATCTATAGTCGATTCTTATATTTAAGACTATTTAAAATGTCGTAAGCCAATCAAAAGGATGCATTAGCATTTTAAGATATTAAGACTGTCTTGTAATAAGAACGAACTGCAAATACCGGTTTATGAATATCAGTTTTTTGACAAAAAAAAGTTACGCACAAATATAGACTTGTGCACTGAAAAAAAGGATTGGCTGCTGCAACAAATTAGATGGTAAAATATGGCATAGCATTTTTAATTGATTGCAGCAGCTACTTTTTGGTTGCGTTAGTCCGCAATGTCAGTATAAGATTTCTATAGGTTAACACAGCCAAAAATTAGCTGCTGCAATCAATTAAAAATGCTATGCCATATTTTACCATATAATTTGCTGCAACAGCTAATCCTTTTTTTTTCAGTGTGCGTAATTATTTTTTTTTGTTTGTAAAGAGTATTTCTACATCCCGAGGTAACACGGTAAATCCGCTTTTCTAGAATGAGCTGAGAGTGCTAGAAGTATATGCGCACATTGGAGAAATTAATTCGGATTTTCTCCACTTAAAAGATAAAGAATCGCGCCAGTTGAATTACTCCGCAGCCGAGGCACTACGTAACTATAAAATACTAAATGTGACGAAAAAATGCTGGAAATAAGATAGTTTCTGCATAATAACGAACAAATCTCTGGATAATAAGACAAATCTGTCATTGTCGTTAATTGGTGAAACGGCTGATTTCAACATGTACACGCTACTTGATATTTTACGCGCGCAATTCTGTGTTTACCGTGGTTCTAATGTACCTACACCTCTCACGGATGATATTCATTTTTATTGGACCATAAAATCCGCGGCACACGGAGGCACGTGAGTATGCCTCCGTACGAGAGGAGGTGGTTGCGACGCGTAACCGCTCGTAAAACTCGAGCCTACTCCTGCCACTCACGTCCGACTTTTACGCGCAGTAAGACTCTATTTAGCGACAGATTATAAGCAACATTGACTTAAATCCAAGATTTAATGTCCCTTAAATTTTCGTGATGACTGAATCGCTAACTTTAGGTTGATAAACGACTTCATCTCCTCCATCGCGAATACAAAGTTTCTTACAGATGGGAGTATTTCTTCTTCCTTTACCCAAAAGTAGTCACCTGATTTTATTTACGTAAACGGATTGCCTGGAATATTTTTACACCCCAATTAAAATCACTGTTATTTAACGACATAGTGTATATCATTTTCTGATTGTTTTTTTTTTATTTATTATTAATATATAAAAATTGATATTATAAATGTATTTAGTCACAATTTTCTGATAAAAATAAGCAGAAACTAAACAAATATTAAATAGAATAAGTTATCCGTTAAGTAGCTTATTATGATAGTATTTCTAAAAAATAAAGGTTCTATTTAATATAAGTTCTCGTATTGCATTCTCGATGGAATTGCATATTTAAAGATTTATAAAAAAATAGTAATTAAAAAGAATCTGTTAAACAATATCCTCGCAAAACAATATTTTACAATTCATAATTTTATCGTTGTTGGGATATAAAAATATCCCAGATAACTCCTGGGTTAAGAATATAAAATTATCATTTATTGCTTTACAAGAAAAACAAAATATCTTGCACATATCAAGTATGCTAATATTTTTATTAATATTTTAAATTTAGAAGTCACACAAACATGACAAATCTATCAATAACATTTACGTTATTACACAAATTTTATAATGAATTTTTCGATGAAATGTAAAACATAAATTTCATGCTCATGCTTATCCATGAAATCATTTGATTCTTGAATTAGTGTATTGTAAATTATATAGGGATCGTTATACCGTAAAATGATATATACTATAAATGATAGTTGCATAGATATACTTCTCTCAATCACTCTAATTGTAGGACGTGTAATACCTACCAATGCAATACCGCAAACAAGCGTCGTAATTGGTGATGATCTGCTCGGAATGTCGTATTGCCGTGTCACCTGCTTCACGGATCTCTACGAATTTGCGCGTGTAAACGAAGTAATCGTCTCGGCTCTCGCGGTGTTATATTGTTATGATTGCATGTGTGCATATATATGTGTTCGTACGAGAGGCCGAACGTAATTTCCATCGATATGTAATGTGTATTCAGTAATTTCAGGCTTGCCCGGTAATGGCCTTATTCCCTTGGGTCATGCAATCCTCCAGTTCAGCCTCCAATGTGGCGGTATAATATTGCATTAGAATTGAATCTAATCATGATCATCCTTTTCGCTGTTTCAAACACTGATTGCGTACCGAGGTCAAGTGGTTTCAAATCGGATCGTATTATTTACT